TTTCTCTTAAGTTCACAAGTTCTTTTGTTGTCTGCTTAAGGTTTATTAATCACTTCCTATTCTTCAACTAATCTTGTCTACTTCCGATGTTTCGACATTAAGTGTTCTTTTATTTTTTTATATTTTATGACACTAAAATTATTGAAAAGATATATGTAATTAAATGTTAAAATTAATGAAAAGTAAAGGCCCCTCATTTATATGCTTTACATATTTTAAAAAGACTTTTTAGGTACTTATTTTTAGGTGTTTTTTAGTGAGACCGTACGCATTATATCCATATTTTTAAATACTCTTATACCATATTCTAAAGGGACCATTTTTTTTAGAAGATTGTAGAATTAAAGGGATCCTAAAGAGACCATTTATCCTTGCAAATTTCGTTACAAATTTAGTTGAAAAATATATAAACAAATAATAAATATTAATAATACACTTTCTTTAACACTTTATTTTGTATCTTTGTAATTTATTTTATTAAAAATCTCACAGCTATTAAATATATATTTTTTTAAATATCCAGTTCAACAATTTAAAAAATACCTCATTTAAAATTTATAGAATTCATTCTTCATTATCTCATACCTTGAAATAGTTGCCTTCCTTAAAGGTTACTTAGTCCTAGGCTAATTTAAAATGTATTGCATGTCTGCTTGATAAATGTTATATTCATTTCCCTTAATTGGAATTCAGACCAATTTACTAAATGAAACAAAAAAAAAACCATCTTTTGTTTAACCTAGAAAACTATTTCCTATAAACAAATACCTTTTACAATATGAGAAATTTAAGCATGACAGGCAGCTGGAAATTTCTCGATAAAGCCAGGCTGAAATGTAATAAAAACAAAAAGAAAAAAAAAACTAGTAAAGACTGGCTAAAAAAACACCTGGCCAGATCGGGTTGCAATAACAATAATCATATATAGCAATATATGTGGCATATTCACAATGCGTATCTCAAATCGCAGTGCTGCAATCACTTTCTGACGTGTGAGCTGAAGTGTTTTCAGTATTCCGTAATAAGTAATAATAAGAAAAGCTGCGACTGGCGCCACATTAAATATATACACCGTGTGGGCGATTATGGGCGTGGCAAAAAGTAAGAAAAAAAAAAAAAGAAACAACAATTACAAATTGCACGTTGTTGCGTCGTGAGTTTTTCCGTTTATATTTCTTACTATTTTTTTACCAGCTGCTTTCAATGCTTAGCTGAGCACGCATTTTCGATAAAAAAAAAATATAAATATATATAGTATATATAAGTGTATATAGTTTAAGTGATATATATAGTGTGGCATTACATAAAAAAATAACTCTTGAATGCAGCTGCGTGTGTGTTTTGATATTTGAACAAAAAGCAAAAGCGAAGAAAAAGAAATATTAAATAAAAATTTAACACGCACACACGAGGCGTATGCGTAATACAGAAAAATATTTAGAAATATGTAAAATGTCGAACAAAGAATGCGGAAATGTTTTTTATTAAGCAGTCAAAGAATTAAAGTATCAAGAAACAAGATAAAAATGTATAAATTTTATGTGTCTTACTTATATTTATTTTAAATAGTATAATTGTTTCAAGGAACTTGGTCAAAAAATTCAGTAAAAACTTGGGTTAAATATTATATATTTCTTCTAAAAAATAAAGTAATTTAATTTATTATTTTCTTAGCCTTTATAAATTTAAATTTGTATATTATTTATAGCTATTACAAATATTTCATAAATCCTTTATTTGATATTTATTAAAACCTCGGCTTAAAACGTATATTATTCTTTTAAAAATATAAAGTATGTGTTCTCTATTCAATTTATTATTAATCTTGATCTTTTTTAAATGATATTTTTATATTTTTCAAATTATTATATAGCCTTTTATAGAATTTCTTTTAATCTTTACTAAAACCGTGCCTTGATAATTATATTTTTCTTCCAAAAACTACACTTTGTTTACTTCTTTCAGTTTTGTTATATTTCTTAGCATTTTAAAACCCTTTAATTTAAATTTTTTTCTTTTAAACCAAAGATTCCCCTATTAAATTTATTATTTATTTAACGCCTTTTTTTTTCTTTTATTCACATTTAATAAATTTGTTTGTTTTAGGCCAAGTCATGGATAACGGTTCTGGCCAACAATTGAGCGTGCGAAAATCCAGAGAGATCTGTTTTGCTGTCAACGCTTTCGAGAAAAGCGCACAGCGCAAAGAAAAACGAGAAAACGAATAAAGAAAAACAACAACAACAACAAGAAAAATAAGGAAAAAGAAGGTAGGAGATGGTAAAAAAAAAAGAAAGAAAAACGACATCGAGGCATTGCGGCTGAGGGAAAATTGATTTGTCACGTTGCGCATAAATTGCACATAATTATGTAAGCAGCCGTTTCTCCGTCGCTGCATTTCACTTTGCGGCTCTTAGCTCAACTCTTGGCTCAAACTCTTGGCTCTTTCTCCTTCTCAATCAATAGAAATAACTTTTGTTTTGCCGTTTCATCAATTAGGCCTTAATTTTGTCACAGTCTGAACGGGTGCTAACGTTTTATTAATGAGAAAAGGCATTTGCCTGACCCTGGGAACTGGGGGAAAACTTGGATGGTGCAGAAGAAAACTGTTGATGGAAAGGAGGCAAAGGTTTTTCAACACAATGACTAGAGGGGTTTCTTATTTTCTTCAAGGAAATTAACTTGGCTTTTAATGCTTTCGAGTAATTTTTTTGTTGTTGTATGGTTATTAAACAAAACGAATTTATAGATATTCTTGGGGATTTAACTTGAGACGAAACTTTTAGGATGTGAGAAAGGTATTTTAATTTGAGATTTCAAAAAAAATTTATTAAAATTCATCTAAAAATGTTATAGATCTGTGGTAAATTTATATTTTAACGTCGAAGCCTATTTAATTTAATTGGATTTAAAATAGATATAATACATTTAACTTTATAAAAACCCAAAGGATTTAAATTGGGAAAAATGCCTTTGAAGGTACTTAAAAATGTACTAAAACTTGTGCAGAAAATCGAACATAACTAAGCCAAAAATGCATTAATTTTAGTTCGTGAAACTTTTCTATGTTAGTTTTTATTAGTTTTATAAACCTGCATCCTAAATTTATAAATTAAAAAATATTGATTTTTTTGTAAATTTTTATGACCAAATTTTACAATGAAAAACATTGAAAAAATTTCGAAAATTTATTTTTCTTCCTGAGATGGCTAGATCGATTCGCCTGCTAATGCTGATCAAGAATATATATGATTTATAGGATCGGAAATGACTCCTTCATTTAATTTTAGGCTTTTGACTAAAATTTTAATTTCAAAAATTATATAAAATTTAATGAAAGAGTCTTTAGTTAATTATTAAAACTTAAAGACAAATGAGTATAATATATTCTCCAAATAAATATATATTTTATAAATCAATTCCTTGTTTCATCTCCTTTCATTTCCCTTAAGAATTTCCAAACTTTAAATATAATTTCCATGCAATTTACCACGCAGGGTGTCCCCCTTCTCCTTCTTCAACTTAACCCCTTCCTTAAAAAAATATATATATATTATATATATCATATATATATATATACCTTAAACAAAGGCAAATAACCACAATCGGAGGGGGAAAAAGAGACTGCAAAAAATGTATTTGCGAATTTTTTTGTTTGATGTTTTTTGTATTTTATTTTTTATTTTTTGAAGGCCAAGGTCGCGGCGCATATGGGATCATAATGAGAAGAGGAGAGAAGAAGAAAAATAAAGCGGGAAAAAAGCACCAAAAAATGTGTTTAATGCATGACACAACAACAACAATAATCAGAAAAAAAAACTGTGCATTATTATTATATATATATATATGTTTTTTATTGTTGTATTTTAGCTTCTCTTTATTTTTGTGTGTTTGGTTTTTCGAGTTGATCAAAGCGGAAGTGAGCGACGGCGTCTGCGTTTTTCTTCTGGTCATTTTTTTTTTTTTTTTTGACAATGGGAAGTGAATGCTAAAAGATCGTACAAACAAAAAAAAATTATATATATACATATATATTTGTGAAGTATGGGTGTGTGTTTGCTGTCAAACAATTGTGTGGCCCAAACATGGCGCTGTTTGAAGGTTTTCTCATTTTAAATTGAACATTTTTTTGTGGTTTGTTTTATTTCTTTTTTTTCCTTCTTCTTTGAGCAATTGCAAAATTGTTTTAATTAGCCGAAGGTTTGTGTGTCTGTGTGTTTTAGCGTTAATTGCAGTTTCCAAAATTAGCAAAGCACACACACACACGTACATAGCTGAGGCTTATTCATGGCGCTGTCAAAGATTTATTTTTTTGCCCCTTTTGATTGACAGCAGCTGCCTCCTGCTTTGGTCCACCCCTAATTTGTTCAAGTGTATTGGTATAAATCTGTGATTATATATATATATATAGAAGGTATCCGTGACAACCCTTCTAATGGTTGCTTTAACAACATAATGTACCATAATATGCCTTTTGGAAAGGTCCCACATTTTCTTTGTTCTGTCCACTAATTTCAATGGCAGTCTTTAATGAGATTTTTTTCAATTATAAAAATAACTCGGAAGAAGAAAAACTATTAAACCCATACCATTTCCGATTTAAATTTCACTATAATAAATATTTATTAATTTCCCCAAATATATTTATTAAGTTTCCTTTAAATAACACTAATTTCAATGCCATTCTTTACATGCGATTTTTTTTTTCAATTAAAAGAATAAATTGAAAGAAGAAAGACTATTAAACCCATAATTTTTTCATTTAATATTCAAATTCCACTTTAAAAAATATTTTCTAATTTTCCCTAACATATTCATTAAGTCTCTTTTAAATAAATTAACAAAAAACAAGAGAAAGAAGGTTTGCAGATACTTCAAAAATTCATTTAAAAAGTTTGTACTAAGAGATGCATATTTTATAGCTTAAAATATATATAAATATAAATAATTAGGATCTATTATTTATATAAAAAATATATATATTAAAATGTTAAACTCACCTTAAACTAAAACACTCGCCAGTCGGGCGTTACCCGTCCAGCAATCCATAAGTTTCAATTTTTCAATTGATTTTTGTAGGGGTCCGTCGTCTACGTCGATTTGTTGGGTTTTTGTTTTGTTGTTTGTTGTTTTGTTTGCTGATTTGTTTTTCTTGTTATTGTTGTTGTTGTATTTCTTTTCTGCTAGTTGTAGTTGTTGCCTTTGTCGCCGTAGTTTTGTTTTAAAATTGTAGTTGTTGTAGCTGATGACGTCCCTTTTTTGTTTAAAAATATGCTTCTTTTGTTACTTTCGCACACCGAAATTTTTATATTTTGAGGGGGTCGTTTTACAACACTGTCTCAGTTTATTTTCTTTCCTTGACTTTTTGTTTTCGAAAATTTGAAAGTTTATTTCCAAGTTCGAAAAGATTCGTTTTTTTTTTTTTTAATTGCCGCAAAAGAAACGAAAATTGTTTTATTTTTGTTTAGTTTTGTTCAAGTGTTTTTAAGCCATAAACATTTAATTGGTCCAGTTGGTCAAAAGTGTGAGGGAGACGGTTGGTGCATGTGTGTGTGTGTGTGTGTGTGTGATTAGAGAGGGATAGAGAGAATGTTTCCTTGTTGTTTTGTCTGCTTTTTATTTATTATTATTTGCTTTTTGGGTTTTTTTTTTTGTTATATTTGCCAGAGAGCGCTGCCAGAGTTGTAGCGTGTTCCAGTTGGTAGAGTTGTTGTTCTTTTTTAGAGTTGCCTTTCGATTTGCCGAGATTGCGAATTTTGGGGAATTATTATTATTTTGCCTTTAAGCTTTTAATTTTTTTGGTTTGTTTTTGTTTTAGCCGGTTTCTCTTTGAGTTTTACACGCTTTCTTCTTCGTTGAAATTTGGAATTTTGAAGAATATGCTAAAAGAATAAAAGAAAAATAATTACATTAATTAAAATTATAGAATAATGTAATTAATGTGTAAATTTACATTTACATTACATATTTTTATAGTTAAATAGTTTATATTTAGGAAAATGTATTACTTTATTGGAATCAATTAAAAAGGATACTGTTGCATCATAGTATCCCTGCAATGGCGGCATTTTCCTGTCTTAAAAAGGCTCTAGACTAACTAAAGTGTTACTATTGTTTTAACATTTTAAACCTTGTTAAATAATTAACATAACTTAGAGAAAATGCTTTAAATTCACTTCCTTAAACTCTTTTTCCTTCTCCCTTTCTGTGCCAAAATACTGGCATTAACCTTTGCAGAATATTTAATTGTATTTCTCGCTCGAAAGTTCAAGTTTTCCCTCAAGTTCGAGTTGAATGCCCCCTCACTGGGAAGCCCTTCTCGAATTTATTTAATTACTCATCAAATTTTAGTCTATTTAGCTTAAATGTAGGCTATGGCAAATGTCACACGACAAGTGTGTGTTTGTGTGTGTGTTGGCGGAAATGTGTACGTGAAACTTTCACTATTTTAATTACCCAAAATGAATGTTGTTCTTTGTTCTTGGTTTTGTTTTTGTTTTTGTTTTGGGGGGAAAAAGGGTAAAGGGAAAGGGGGTAACAAGAGGTGGGGTTCTTTGGCGGGGGGGAGAGGTTACCGAGTTGAATGGCAATGCCACATAGTCGAGTTCTTGTTGTTGTTGTTGTTGTCTGGAAAAGTCTGTTAACTGTCTGGGTTGTTGTTGCCTCAAGTGCCACACACACACAGCAACTCGGGTTGAATGTTTTTGGTGAAATTAACACACACACACACATACATACACACACAGGCGGACAGACATAAAGGGAAAAGTTTTCCACTGCAACATGTGGCAGGCTTAATTATGACGTCGTTGCTCAACAGTGAGCGACAAAATTCAAGCCTTGAATTATGTCTAGCAGCAGAGGCGCCCCTAAAAAGGGGTTTTTTAATGCTTAAAAAAAGTTACAAATAATTTAGGGAAAAATCTAGCATTATATTTATAATTTAAATAATATATATGACAAGAAAATGTTGCAAAAATGAAAAGAAAAACACTGCACAATATTTTAATTGTCTAATTCTCAAAAGTAATATATATATATATATAATAATATATTATATAATAAATAATATAATATATGAAATTGTATACAAAATTATACAAAAAATAATGAATAAAACAATATATAAAAATATATGAAATTATACAAAATAATTTATTAAATAATATATAAATAAGGAAAGAAAAAGATTAAAGGAAATCATTACGCTTTATTCCTTAAAATATACAATTTCTTACATGACTTATTGTTTCATTTTTTATTTATTTATTTATTATTTATTATATATTAAATTATATTTTTACTTCAGTTTTTTCCATAAATTATTTTATTTAAATTTCTTTTTTTTTCTTTTAATTATTTTCTATTTTAGGTTTTTCCTTAACCTTTCAACCTCCTGACGTCATTAATTCAACTCTATATATATACATATATCCATGAATATACATCTGCTCCCTGGCATATTTTAATCAACAGCAGCGCAGCAACTATAAGAAGCTGAGGAAGCTTTTGGAAAAGCAAGAAAACACTGGAAAAGCCAAAAGAAAAAGAAAAAAAGAAAGGATGAGAGAGTGAAGTAGCTAGCTGCAGCAGCAGCCATCTGGCAGTTTATGTCTGCGGCATCAACGTGGTGGCATTGAAAAAGTTTCCATTTTTCCTTGACTTTTAGCCAAGCAGCAGCCATAAGTAGGTTCAAAGTTCAAGTTCAAAACACACACAAACACACACACACAGACATAAATACAGGAAAATGGTAGAAAATTATGCTTGAGTTAATCTATGAAAAGGTTAAAGATTAAAAGGAAGAAGACTAAGATTATAAAGGTGGCAAGGAAACCTAATTAGAGAGAAATGCTTGGAAATAAATATCTAGATTAGTGAATTAATGTTTCAGCTTTAATTTAAATACAAAAAAAAAAAAAAAAAAAAAACAATCAGTTCAATTAGACATGAAATCCCATAAAAGAAAAACACGCACTGATAAGCCTCTCACGTGGTGGACAGCAAACAGACAGTAAAAGCAAGCCCCTAAACCAGCGGGTGAGAAAATAACGAGATATATATATATCGTTATATATATATATAGACAGTAGGAGAAAATGGTGAGGATATAGACAGTAGTCGGTAGTAGTCAGAATAGGACAGAGGAGCAGACAGACAGACAGTGAAACCAATGCCAGACATCCATCCAGACGGGGAGTCAGACCGAAGTCAGACGGCGAGACGCATTGTTGATAGACACAGAGAAAAGCTCGTACTAGAAGTGAGTCTAGAAAATGTCTACGTCTATACAGATATTTATATATATATAAACATATAGACATATATATTTGTATATATATATATATATATTTATTTGAGTGTTCGTGTGCGTGACTCATACATATGTAATTCCCATAAACAATGACGACAGGCTGCTTAAAATGTCTGCACAGCTGTTTGATGTGTGTGTGTGTGTGTGTGTGTAGTATGGTGTGTGTTGCATCAACAGTTGAGGCAACTGCAGACAGTTGAAGAAAACCCCCCAAAAAAAAATATATATATGCAACTTATCCCCTCTCCTATATCGACACACTTTTATTAACCCTTGTGCAAAAATAGCAAGGAGCCATTTTTAGTTTGATTTTGTTGCTAATATTTATATTTAAATAATTATATTTAATATTAGTATATCTTATATAATTTTATTTTATTAAGAAAATTAGTTTTTAAATTTATTTGGCTTAATTAAAGTTTTATTATTAAAAATATAGCTTTACTGAAGCCAAAGTAATTAAATTGTTTTAAATAATTAAAGTTAAGCTAAGAAAATAAGCATACAGAAATAAAATAATAAAAACTACAAGCTCAAAGATATTTTTGGTAAATAAATAAATGATAATATAACCATAAATGTTTTCTATTTAGGATATTAAGAGTAGAAATTATTTATATATATATCAATAAATATATAACTTAATTTTCATAAATAGATATATATTTATACTACAATTACCAATGACATTGTTTTATATTTTATTTATTTTCGACGTTAGTTTACTTATTATTCTAATTATTTATTTATTCATTTATAAAATTATAAAATGTATATTTCGGATATATCAGTTTATTTTATATTTAACTCATTCTACATTATTTTTTGCGGTGATTTCTTTAAGAAAAATAGCAATATTAAAAATCTTTTAATATAAATACCATTTTATCAAGATTGATCAAAGTTTTTCAGGTTTATTTATCAAGTATTTGAAACAATAATTTATATTATATTGAATTAATATAATAGTGGTATCAAAGTTTTCATTGACTTCCTCATCATTCTTCTTTTTTTAGTAGATTTTGATACGTTTTAAAAGTCTAGAAAGGGTAGGGGTTTTTTCCCTTCTACTTGCACCCCCTAAATGCCCAAAAGGGTTAATCTTAGGGACTTCCCAGGACGACACCACCAAAGAAGAAGACATACAAAAATACAAAGATACAACAACGACAGAAAATATACAAAATACAAACAAACAAAAAAAAAAAACAACTGAAAAAACCCTCGACAGTCGCAAGTTGCATATTCCGCCGTGTTGCAGGTGGAAACGCGCTGAATGGGAAATAGAGAGGGGAAAATGCAAGGGGTGTGAAGAGGGTATAAGGGAAAATGGCAAAGGCAATGAAGGAGAATGAGGAATTTGAATGGGAATGGCACTAAGGAGGGTATAATATAGGCGGGGTAAGTCTGGTGTTGTTCTTGTTCCTCTCTGCGTCTTGCGTTTTTTAATTTCGTTTTCTTTTGTGGCGCATTTTCCATTTATTTTATCTGTCTCGTCTGTCTGTCCATCTACCATTTTGCCCTCTCCCCTTATTCTGCTTTTCTCGCAATGTGCAGTTTATTATTTTTTTTTTTACTAAGCACAAGGACATTCTCAAACAGGACAGCAAGCAAATTCCATTATTGTTGCCATGCGTGACACATAAAAAATAACACACAAAAATATATAGGAATAAAATATGAATATGATAAATGTTGACAATACATTTTTGCATTAATAATTAAAATATAAAACAAACAACAGCCACAGAGAGCAAGACATTGAAAGGGTAAAAGAAATATATACAAGAAATATTATTCTTATAAACAATTTTTAAAGTGTAAAAAAATCTATATTGCATTTGTTTATTAGAACTTTAGAAATTGTTTATGATTTTTCTTTTCTACTCTGCTCTGCTCTGCGGTTTCAAACTCCGCACTGGAAATTTCAGTTGAATTTATGAAACTTTAGACGTCAATCGACCGGCTGAAGGAATAAACGGACAAATGTCACGGCATCTCAACATTTCAAGAGTGTTTTATTGGAAACAAAGGGAAAGGGGGACTTTCAACCAGACAAATATATATATAGAAATATATAAATATGTATGTATATATAGTAAATGTGCATAAAATATGCCAAACAAGTCAAGGAAGTCAAAGAGATAAACAAAAGTTTATAGAGTCTAGGTAAGGGTTCACCTAAAATCAAGCCATAAACAAGAAAAAAATTGACAAAAGAAATGAGAGTACTTTGGGGAACTTTTGAATTAAATTTAAAATTAAATAAGACATTTAAAGGAAAAATTAGGTAAAGGAAGTACGATTTAATTTATATTAACTAAGTTTATAAGAACAAGTAAAAAGCTAAGGATATAACTGACCCTCCAGGCACTACTGATTTATATAAAAACCCTTTGAAAATTCTTTAAAAAAATATATAAAATTAAATTTTAAAATCTTATTAATATAACTCTTATCCATAAACTCTTTCTTATATATTTCCTTAATATTTTCTTTAAAATTTCAAACTGTTGCTGTCTTTAAACTGTCTTTAGTTTAGTCTTTAGTTCATGTCCAAAAAAGAAC